AGGCAAAGTCTCAACCGAACCACTCAAGCGGCAACGTGCAACATTGTCATCATTCCTTTGTCTTGCAGACTTGTGCTGGAGGACCTCCAAACATCTCAGATTGAGTGAAAGCAACTATGCCAAAGGGTACCTTCAGTCAACAGAATGGACATTCGTCACCAGTCTCAGTGGTCGTCGTCTGTATACTGTATCGTCCCCCCTTGTCAAGAGGCTACCCAGCAGTCGAGTAGTGAAGCAGTGCTTCGTTCAAACTCCCTTGACCGGTCACCCTCAAAATACCCCGTGGACAGGCAGTGGGATCTGTTCGATATGAAAAACGAGAATAGCAGATCTAGTTCTATTTTGAAGGTATATTTAAACACAAAGTCAATAAGTCGGACACCCTACAAATACATCCTTCATCATCTTTCAACCTGACGTCCGTCGGGTTGGAACTCACCTGGCGCTTCTGCTCGGCACGCCTCTGCTCGACGCGCGAGGATGGACACAACCGGTACAGAAATCCCCCAGATTCAATGCAGGTACATCCTCAAGTACGAGGTTGAACTTCTGTCTTTGCAGCCCGAGACTGTGTTCTCATAGGTTTTGGGTTTGGGATGGTTTTGGGCTCCTCCTCTTCAAACACTATTACTATATATTTATATCATATATAGAGGTTTTTTGAGTTGATGGAACAATTCTGCTTGACGGACATCAACTGACCCATCAATCCTTTCCAGAAGCTGCCCCCCTCCTTTTAACAGCATGCTTGCTTGCAACTGCTTAAGCTTGCACACGCATTTCCTTTCCCACTGCGCATGGGTTTCTTTCCACTCCTCGCCTCTCCTCTTCACGCGCCGCCGCTGCGGCTGCCGCTTGCGCCGCTTGCGCTTGCTTCTCTCGCTCTGCCTGGACTCGTCTCGAACAAAAGAATCGCAAGAGTCGGAGCAACATGACATGGCTCTTGCGGCGGTCCACAAAGATCTTCCACACAGCACAACTTGTTCAGATCGGACCTCTGCAGAAAGCGGAAAGCAAACTCTGATTTCAACGCAGCCAGCCCCCCGCCCGTGCTTCAGCTTCTTTCCGCCGGCGTTCTTCTGCCTTGGGGCCGTGAAGAATGTGAAGACCCGAGGCGTGGTGGAATCCTCAACCAAACACACACGGACTCAAACTCGGTCTGCAAAAATAACACAAAAAGGATCAATAAGTTTGAATTTCCTTCAGTGATCCTTCTTTTTTACCGTCAATGGCTATCTGGGCTGCCTTCGTTTCATCCTGGTTTCGTCGTCTTGGTGTTTGCTCTAACTCCAACACCGGCCAAAAGCGAGGCTTCAGATCGACCACTCAAGACTTATTATTTAGGAAGCTACTAAGTGGAGGCCATCGCTACTAGAAAAAAAAACAAACTCACCCCAACAAATGCACGCACCAACTCGGTCAGGGCCCACTTCAACTCGCGAGGCTTTCAAACTGAACTCCGCGATGCGTCGCTCGTGTGGAAGGACTGCCAGCTTATGGCATGCCCAAGAGATCTCTCACTCGTGCATCGAATCTTTCAATTTATATAATTGTATTGATTTTGTTGCTCACAAACCGACGAGCCCTATTGGTTCTTGCGGTCTTGCGCGCATTTTCAGCTTCTCTTTTCTCTCTTGGGATCAACAGCTGCTTTCGCCAAACACTCATTCGAGTGTCTCACGTGCAGCACAGTGTGGCACTCAGTGCATCAGGATAAGAAGCAAAGCGTCCCATGTTGATTGAGGGACATCTTTGTTGTTCCCACTAATCGATGCCGTTATTCGTCACGCAAAATACCCTATAATATTTGATCTGCCAAAGTTGCCTCTTCTTCCCTTCTTCTTGCAGCAGCCTTCGCTTTTTCCTGCCATCTCGTTCCAACCCAAAAAACCAGAGAAAAAACAACACCCCAATTTCGATCCACAGCTTTTAACCACCAAAGAGGCCAAGGTACGGCAAGCAGGGTGCAAATCAATCTAGCCTTAGTATCTTAAGTATATACTACAGCATACTACAACCGTCAATCACACAGTCAGAACTTGAACTGTTAGCCCCGCCCACCCAAAGGGTCCTTGTCCTGGTAGGAAAAAGCATTTGGGTGCTGTATCCTCTGCACGGGACTCCTAACTAAAGCACCTCTACACTGTGTTTTCAACAACACCCCAGTTCGCGTAGAGCAGTCGTTACACCTCCTTCTTCTGCCGCACATCGACACCTTAGTGTGTTTCATGGCCCATGTTCAAGCCCAACAACGGTGACTTATATATGTATATGTATATATATATATAGGATCTATCTATCTATATATATATATATAATGACTGACTATATAATGAGAAAACTCGTCATAGTGTACACCCCTCATGGTAGCGGTACCAATTTTCTTTTATTGCACTAGTAGTTCCATTCAAAGACACATTCCTTACCTCACAACATGGTAAAACTTCATCATACGTTTCTTCTTTGTTCTCTCAAATCTGTCAGTTCTGGGGTAATAACTCCGTTGAAGATCCCCTGCATGCTCGATGCTCCAGCGCATCGACCGATGCGTGCGTTGAGTTTGTTTCATGTTTTTGGGGCCCCCGGCGACCCTGATGGCCTCGCCAAGTGGATTGCAACCTGCATGGCCCACCATCCAGCCGATGGATGAGAAAACGGTGTGGTTCTCCGGTGTTCCAACGGCGCAGGTGGGTATGGACGGTGACTCTATAGACTCTAGAACACACACACACACTTCGACAATTTGTATTCAGTTAGCTCAATTTCTCCGATGGG